GCTACTAGTCGGATAAAATGATGAGGCAGATTGATTTGGATAAGCTTCCAGATCAGGCCCGCGTGCCAGACCTTGTCGAAAGCCTTTTGGATGTCTAGGGAGATTGCAATGGTGCAAAAAGAAGCGTTGATATTTTGGGATATGTGGGTGTGAAGTTCGACTAGTGCGTTCTGGGTAGAATGTTCGGTCCTGAAACCATGTTGATAGGGAGGGATAATGTTGTGGAGTGTGAGGAAGTCGTTCAAACGATTAGTCATCAAACGTTCCAGCAATTTTCCAAGGCAGCTAAGCAAGCTGATGGGTCTGTAGGAGTCGGGATTAGTAGGATCCTTGTGGGGGAGGTTTTTCAGAACACAGCGGTTAACCGAGTCTGGTCCAAGAGCGGTATTTCTACCACTGTGGATAGAGTTGAGGATGTCTTCCTCGCTGAATGGGGATCTTAAGGGACAGTTGGCGTCGAGGGGGATTTGACCTGGGTGCCTGCCCAACTGCGCCGGCACCTGTTGGTGAATGAGGTTAAGAAATAGGTTATCGAATTGTGGGTCTTTAGGAAGACGGAAGGTTTTTTCGAGATTTTCACGGAAGGCTTCGGCTTTGTCGGGAGAGGTGGAAATGATGTTACCGTCAATCACCAGGTGACTGTCGGTTTTCCGTTTTCCGCATGAACTGAGAGTCACAACCATTTTATACTGTAACCTAGTACCTACTCGTCTACCTAAATAATGAATCCACCTGAAAATGCCAGATATGAATTCATTAACAATGTCAATAAATTTTTCGAAAGTATACCTGTAAATATACCCAACTATTTTTACCTGTGTTACCTGCTAATGAACATATCCAATATAGGCGAATTATTCAATTCAGTTTGATTGTTCATAAGATGTTGAGAGTTTTTGGATTTTAATTTCCATATTCTCCAACAGGTTAAGTTTCAAACCTTTATTTTAGAAATGGAGGGGTTTGTATTCATGGTTGAACTCATGTCTCTCTGAGATTGAATGACTGGCATATGTAAAATGTATTTTTCCATTCTGAAAACTATATTTGTGTTCTTTTATGCGGGCTTTGAACTTTCTTCCAGTTTGACCTATATAAAACATCGGACATGACCCACACGATAATTTATACACTCCTGAATTTTCTGAAACTGAACTTTTATCTTTGTTATTCTCAATGTGCTTGCCTAAGTTGTTGTTAGTTTTGAAAGCAGTATTTACACCTTTGCTGTGCAGAAAATCTGAAATATTTGTAGTGGGTTGGTCTAAGTAGGTAAATGTTTTATAACGTTTATCCTATTCTCTTCGACTTGGGTAAACTTCTTTCAAAGCTTGACTGTATAACTTTTTTGATAATATAGAATGTATTAGACCGCTATTGTAATCATTGTTGCCGGATATTTGCTTTATTATATTCAGTTCTTTATTGAAATTCGCATCTGACACGGGCACATTCATCAGTCTGTGGATAATACTCTTGAAAGCTGCTACCTTATGCTGATATGGGTGAGTGGACGAATTATGAATGATAATATCTGTATGTGCCGGTTAATGATAAGTTGAAAAATCTAGTTTGTTGTTAACTTTTGTTATTGTCAAGTCCAAAAAAATTTATAGACTCGTCCTGTTCCATCTCCATTGGGAATGTGATAGAGGGGTGGAGAGAATTGATGAGCTTCAAAAAGTTTGTCAACTATCTGTTCGTTCCTGTGAAACATACCAGGATACCATCCACATATCTATACCAATATACGAAACTTCTTACCACTGGGTTACTGTGGATTTTTCTCTCCAAATCGTCCATGAAAATCTCATTTAAACTGTGATATTCCATTCAAAACTTATTCAATTCGACAAAAATAAGTGCAATTTGAATGAGTGTACTTTTGGTAATGTAACACAAATCGATTATTTTCATCAGCATGAACATTATGTGCTCAGGGTTCGATGAAGTCGACCAAGGCCGTTTTTGGCTGGTCCTGATTGGCAGAGGTTCTGTTGGTGAGAAAATTATTGAAGTGCTTGGTTCTATCGGAGAAAAAGTTTTTGAAGTGCTTGGAAAGATGGTAGTCGGCTGGCCAGAGGTCTGAAAAGTATGGTGGGTGAGGCAGAACGATGATTCGTTGCAAGTTGCAAGTCTTAGTGCAAGATTGGACCTCTTCTGTTGAGTACAGCCGGCTGCTGTTGACGCAATTCTCGGTACATTTCGTCGATTTCCTTACAATAGGGTTCTGCTGTGAATTATAGTAAATCACCTCTGACGCTGACCACCGTACAGTAACCATGGTCATTTTTTTTTGGGTTTTCGCTTTTGAGAAGTGCTTGGGTTGCTGATCGATGAAGTACAGACCACGGTACATTACCCCTGGTCTTTTTTGGCATGTTTTCGCTTTTGGGAAGTACCTAGGTTGCTATTCGGTACAGTACAGATCACCGTACAGTAACCATGTTTTTTTTGATGTGTTTTTGCGTTTGGGAAGTGCCTGGGTTGCTCATCGGTATAGTACGACTGCTGTACAGTAACCATGGTCTTTTTTTGACGTGTTTTCGCTTTCGGAAATTGCCTGGGTTGCTCATCGGTACAGTACAGACCACCGTACAGATACCATGTTCTTTTCGGCGTGTATTCGCTTTTGGGAAGTGCCTGGGTTGCTCATCGGTACAGTTCAGACCACCGTACAGTAACCATGGTCTTTTTTGACATATTTTCGCTTTTGGAAAGTGCCTGGGTTGCTCATCGGTATAGTAGAGACCATCGTACCGTAAACATTGTCTTTTTGGCGTGTTTCCGCTTTTGGAAAGTGCCAGAATTGGTCATCGGTACAGTACAGACCACCGTAAAGTAACCATGTTCTTTTTTGACGTGTTTTCGCTTTTGGAAAGTGCCTGGGTTGCTCATCGGTACAGTAGAGACCACCGTACAGTAACCATGGTCTTTCTGGCGTGTTTTCACTTTTGGAAAGTGGCGGGATTGGTCATCGGTACAGTACAGACCACCGTACAGAAACCATGGTCTTTTTTGACGTGTTTTCGCTTTTGGTAAGTGCCTGGGTTGCTCATCGGTATAGTACAGACTGCGGTAAAATAATCATGTTCTTTTTTGGCGTGTTTTCACTTTTGGCAAGTGCCTGGGTTGCTCATCGGTACAGTAGAGACCACTGTACAGTAACCATGGTCTTTCTTGGCGTGATTTCGCTTTTGGGAAGTGCCTGGTTTGCTCATCGGTACAATACAGACCACCGTACAGTTATCATGGTCTTTTTTGGTGTGTTTTCGCTTTTGGAAACTGCCTGGGTTACTCATTGGTACAGTACAGACCACCGTACAGTAACCATGGTCTTTTTTGACGTAATTTCGCTTTTGGGAAGTGCCTGGGTTGCTCATCGGTATAGTACAGACTGCCGTACAGTAACCATGGTCTTTTTTGACGCATTTTCGCTTTTGGAAAGTGCCTGGGTTGCTCATCGGTACAGTAGAGACCACCGTACAGTAAACATGGTCTTTATGGCGTGTTTCCGCTTTTGGAAAGTGCCAGAATTGGTCATCGGTACAGTACAGACCACCGTACAGTAACCCTGTTCTTTTTTGACGTGTTTTCGCTTTTGGAAAGTGCCTGGGTTTCTCATCGGTACAGTTCAGACCACCGTACAGTAACCATGGTCTTTTTTGACGCCTTTTCGCTTTTGGAAAGTGCCTGGGTTGCTCATCGGTACAGTAGAGACCACTGTACAGTAACCATGGCCTTTCTTGGCGTGATTTCGCTTCTGGGAAGATCATGGTCTTTTTTGGTGTGTTTTCGCTTTTGGGAAGTACTTGGGTTGCTCATCGGTACAGTACAGACCATCGTACAGTAACCATGGTTTTTTTTGGCGTGTTTTCGCTTTTGAAAATTGCCTGAGTTGCTCATTAGTACAGTACAGACCACTGTACAGTAACCATGGCCTTTTTTTGCGTGTTTTCGCTTTCGGGAAGTGCCTGGATTGGTCATCGGTACAGTACAGACCAATGTACAGTAACCATGGTCTTTTTTGGCGTGTTTTCGCTTTCGGAAATTGCCTGGGTTGCTCATCGGTACAGTACAGACCACCGTACAGTAACCATGTTTATTTTGGCGTGTTTCCGCTTTTGGAAAGTACTTGGGTTGCTCATCGGTACAGTACAGACCAATGTACAGTAACCATGGTTTTTTTGGTGTGTTTTCGCTTTTGAAAATCGCGTGGGTTGCTCATTAGTACAGTAGAGACTACTGTACAGTAACCATGTTCTTTTTTGGTGTGCTTTCGCTTTTGGGAAGTACTTGGGTTGCTCATCGGTACAGTACAGACCACCGTACAGTAACCATGGTCTTTTTTGGCGCATTTGAAAATTGCCTGAGTTGCTCATTAGTACAGTACAGACCACTGTACAGTAACCATGTTCTTTTTTGGTGTGTTTTCGTTTTTGGGAAGTGCCTGGGTTGTTCATCAGTGTCCAACCACTGTCCTGAACGTCACCTGTTGTAGTCACATTTCAAACCATCAAAAACCGCATGGGAGCTGACGCCCAGTTCTTCCGCCATCCTACGCACCGCTTGTGATAGGTCAGTCTCCACCAGTGCCCTCAAATCTTTGTCTTAGATTAGTGTAGGTCGACCACTTTGTGGATCGTCTTCGAAGCTAAAATTTCTGCAAACCAATATCGAACAGTGCGTTTATTAACACTTTCACTGCCAAATACCTCATTGGCGATTTGGTTCAATTTGAATTCGTAGTGAAAAACTAACCGAAAATCGCTTAACGACATTATATAGTCATAAGAAAAGAAGCAAAAATATTCAACAGCATCAAGGTGTAATGTGAAAAATTCTCTAGCGATCAGTATATGTCGCGATACAGCAAAATTCATATTGATTGAGATATGAAGCTACAGAAACATTAGAAGGGACAAAACTTTTGAAATAACCTGAAAACAGATAGGAAATATCTGAAAATTGTTATTTGAATAATTTTTCACTTCGAGGAAAATAAGGAATGGATAAAAAACATTCGACAGGAATAATAATAGAGGAGTTATTGAAACATGGAACTTTATAATGTAGTTTTTCAAGTTGTTGATAGAGAATAGCATACTGTACAACAAGTGTCATTTTCTCACACATTGTACACTGTACTTTTTCTACGGTTGCGTTGTTTTGAAGTATTGAAAATACATATATGACAGTATTAGTATGTCATTAACTCATCTTTATGTTTAATTGACAATAGTAATTAACAGTTTTATTTGGACAATTTTGTAAAGTAATTCCTGGTAGGTCGTTTTGTTTCCACATGTTTTCGGTAATTGAAATATTAGCTGCGGTCGAAGTTGAAGTTGATGGGAAAACGTACTGAACTTCCACAGCATTGTTGTGTTCAGGTTCTAATGGCGTTGGAGGCTGAAAGGATTCTACTATACTTTTTGAAATTTTCATTTTGTTAGCTATGGAGATTCAACAACATTGCTGGATTTCCAACCCCATGGCGTTTTGAATTCGAAAGTTCTGACACAATATTAACTAAAATAGTCGAAAATGAATTCGGTAATTTCAAAAATTTTGCTATTTCTTTCGCCATGGTGCCAAATGTATTTATCCCCACAGGATGTTTCGTACATTTGCTATTTTTGTAATTTAAAAAAAAACGTGTTTCATTTGTGCATCGTCGAAGTTTCACATATTTTTTGTAATTTTGGTAGAATTCTCCTGTGACTGTGAAATTTCTAGGAACCTTGGTTTTAGTATCGGGTAATTTTATTGAAAGGGCTGAATTAGGACCCTCCATGTCAACAATTTTTAATTTTTGATGTTCATTACAACGGCACGTAGTTTTACTACGTGCATCCTCATGATCGATTACTGATGCCATAATGTAGATGATTTCAATATTTTTAACAACTCTTCAAAATGAATCAACAAGGTATTTTCGGAACAAGAATTTACCTTGGCTTTCATTTTTCACTCCGTAAAATTTCTGTGAGCAATTTCATATTTTTCTCTTGATGTGCTTGGTAGCAAATTATTGCAAACATCTATTGCGTTCTGAACAATTTCTGGAGCTGTATTTTCCAACTCTAAATCTTCGTATTCCATTATATTCAATATTAAGTAAATCTGAACTGTTTATACTATAATAATCAACAATAAAACTATTTTCGTTAGCGATGAGAGAAGTGGGACATTGTATAGCATCCGAAGAAAAAATTCAATACTGAGACATTTGGTACATTTTCAGACGACTTCAATATTGATAGACTTTCTCGAAACCGAGATAACGAATAGCAAAGCCGTATCATTCAACTTGATCAAGTCACTGATGTTTCTGAGATTTCCACTGAAGTGCTTATTATAATAACTTTGTTCGAGATGATGTGGTCGAGAAATGTGCAGTAGGTTATATGCAGTTCGAAGTTTCTGAAAATTGGCAAAAACAAGACCATTTAATGTCTTTTACCAGTGGATGCGACGGTTATTTTAGCGGCTACCTCCAGCTCCAGCATGAACGTCTTGGTGACAAGGCACTGCCACCCATGCTTGCAAAAATCGTATGCACGACAGATTTTTTCATATAAATGAATAATATTGATCTATCACCGTGAATGCATTATTGGAATCTTATATTGACGAAAAAATTACAAACAAGAAAGATTGAATAGAATAAAATGCAGTCACAGTTTACCCAATAATTTCATCTGATGTGGATAAAAATATTTAGACTTTTCGAGGGAGTATTGAGTAAAAAAAGTCACCCTGTATTGCTTCTTACCAACTCAGTTGAGAATATCATTGTAATGACGTGAACTGCTCACTTGTATTTTGATTTTTTTCGTTTTCAGGAGGACCAAGACTGGGGTTTTGTAGCTATGGTTTTAGATCGCCTTTTTCTCTGGATTTTCATCATAGCATCGATAGCAGGGACAATCTCTATTTTATGTGAAGCACCAGCTCTGTACGATGATACTAAACCTATCGATATGGAGTTATCATCGGTTGCTCAGCAGCAGTTTTTACCCGACTTTGAGAATATGCAATAATTAATTATGGTACTGCAGTAACAAATAATTCCTTACGATTCTTGTTCCAGATTAAATATGTTGGAATTTTTCCAAACTGAATTTCTAGATATATTTGCTGCTTTCCATTCATTTTCAAACGTTCCAGAAAAGGGACTGATGTTTTTCCCACGATTGGTGTGGAAAATTGGTTGATGCAATTCCAGAAATGATATAATTGATATGGGGAGTTACAGTAGAAAAAAGCGAGTTTTCTCAATACTACACAAAATATGTAGTCAATTGAAGGAACAAACTCAAACACACATATAAAACTGTTTGAAGAGTTTTTAAATGAATTTGTCATTGAAAATGATCCAATTTTAAGATTACTCAATGACTTTTTATAAATTTGGTGCTCAGTATTTTCGAAAGTATTTATACGGAATGAAAAATGAAGTGATGGCATTAGGAACTCTGATTTCTCGTCATCGTCGATTGATGTCAAGTAAGAAATAGCAATCAATACCGATTTTTCAGATGATGGAAACACAATAGTTCATTCAAATATATTCTATTTTCAGTTTGGAAGACATGAAAAATATTTAGAAATAACTCTGATTGTGAATACTCTCCATTAATATTAACATTTGAAATGTTATGATTATGTTCAAGTACTCATGTTGAATAAAGTGGAATTGTTCTGGATGTAGCAGTTTTACCCCTTATAGGTTGTTTTCCAAAATACGAAAACCGCGACACATCCTCAAGCATAAACTGAGAGTTACTTCTGAATTACAACCATTTTATACTCTAATCTAGTACCTACTCGTCTACCCAAATAATGAATCTTCCTGAAAATGTCAGGTATGAATCCATTAACAATGTCAATACATTTTTCGAAAGTATACCTGTAAATATACTATTCTTACCTGCAAATGAACAGATTCAATAATGGCGAATTATTCAATTCAGTTTGATCGTTCCTAGGATGTTGAGAGTTTTGAATCATGATTGAACTCATGTTCCTCTGGGATTAAATGACTGGCTTATGTGAAATTCATTTTTCCATTCTGAAAACTATATTTGTGTTCCTTTGTGCGGGTTTTGAACGTTCTTCCAGTTTGACCTATATAAAACATCGGACATGACCCACACGATAATTTATACACTGAAACTGAACTTTTATCTTTGTTATTCTCAATGTGCATGCCTGAGTTGTTGTTGGTTTTGAAAGCAGTATTTACACCTTTGATATGCAGAAAATCAGAAATAATATTAATAATAAAGAATTGTATCAGACCGCTATCGTAATCATTGTTGACGACGATTCGCTTTATTATATTCAGTTTTTTATTAAAATTCACATCTGAAACGGGCACATTCATCAGTCTGTGGATCATACTGTTGAAAGCTGCTACCTTATGCTGATATGGGTGGGTGGACGAATTATGAATGATAATATCTGTATGTGCCGGTTTATGATTAATTGAGAAATCATGTTTGTTGTTAACTTTTGCTATTGTCAAATCCAGAAAATGTATAGATTCGTTCTGTTCCATCTCCACTGTGAATAGATGGGTGAAGAGAATTTATGAACTTCACAAAGTTTGTCAACTGTTTGTTCGTTCCTGTGAAACAAACCAGAATATCATCTACATACTCATACCAATACAGAAAACTTCTTACCAGTGGGTTACTGTGTATTATTTTCTCCAAATCGTCCATGAAAATCTTTGCCAGAATAGGACAAAGTGGGTTTCCCTTTATGAGACCTTTGCAGGATGAGTAAAAAGTTCTATTGAATTGAAAGTAATTCTGTGACAAACACACCGTAAGCAATTCTGATATTTCATTTTTCACTACCGGATTGATAAAGTTTTCGTCCAATAAATTCTCCACCAGAGTAATCGTTTCATTCGGAGGAATACTGTCTTTTCCAGGTTGATTCATTATTTAGGTAGACGAGTAGGTACTAGGTTAGAGTATAAAATGTTTGTAATTTAGAAGTAACTCTCAGTTACGCTTGAAGAAGCTATTGTATAGCGAAACACGTGTCGCGGTTTTTGTAAAACCCTTTTATAGTAGAAATCATACAATAAACTGTGTTGATGAGTTTTTTGAAATGTATTTTTACCAAGTATCGGCCAGTTCTATTTGATTTTCCAAAATACTGAAATTCTTCAGAGAGACCTGTGGTTGAGATACGTAGACGACACCTTCATAATATGGAACCATGGGAATGCAGAACTAGACAGCTTCCTGAGGCACATCAACAACGTGAGTATTTCCATCACTTTCACAATGGAGAAGGAAATACACAAAGAATTGCCTTTCTTAGACGTATTGGTGAAGAGGACCGACACTAAATGGAAAACATCTGTATATCGAAAACCCACTCACACAGAACAGTATCTGAACCAGAAATCCAACCACCACCAATCGAATAAGAGAGGAATCATCAAGACTCCACTAGACGGTGCTTTCGGGCTCTGTAATACAAAGGAAGGTCTCGAAATGGAACTAGGCATTATCAAAAATGACCTTCAACGAAATGGTTACTCCAGGCTTCAGCTAGAAGACAGCAAGAACTCCACAAGGAAGAGAAGCCGCCACAACCAATGAATGTACTGACCCGTTTCTTGATGGAAATCTACAACACTATCCATGATAATAATTAAACAATAATCATACATTTTTTTAAATTCTCAACACTTTCAACTAACACCGTAGCTTCATCGGTCATGATAAATAGTACACACTGGACTGCCATTCTTATACAGGGTGTTTCAAATTCGATCCTCACCATTCAAATATAAATTGCAGTTTCACATTACCACTTCTTTCCTGCTACATAATAGTGTTTTTAGATTTGCTCAACAACGTTTCGTCTTCTGGCCACCATCATCAACTTTATTTTTTTTATAGGCGCTACATTGGACATTTTCTGTTTTGAAAAGAACCCGATTTTACCTTTTCAATGATGTTTCATGAGTTATTATTCTTTTTCGAAAAATTGGAGATATCGAAAATAATTAATTCTTATCATAATAGGCTTTGACTTTGATGTGTCTAAAATACAAAAATTGTATCTAGGTGATCATGAAAGGCGATTACAATTTTGTAATTGACTCATAAGGAGACCCGATTTTCATGTTTTCATGGAAAATGTTATTTGGACAGATGAGAGCACTTACGAATTGTGGGATATTCAACCGAAATAATGAATACATTTGGAGCATAAACAACCCCAGGCAGTTCCGAAAAATTCAACTTCATGGGCCCTCATTTATTGGTCGGAATCCTGAATGGAGAAACCTATCACCAGTTTTTGATGTCGATTTTCGAAGACTATTCGGCTGATCTACCTTTGGCTAACTATAACAATATCTGGTTTCAACATGATGGTGCTCCACCTCACACTACCAGACGGGTATCTAATCACCTGACTGAAAGGTTTGGAGATAAATGGATAGGGAATAATGGGCCGGTGAGGTGGCCAGCAAGTTCTCCAGACTTAGGTGTTATGGATACATTCTTATGATGTACACTGGAAAATAGAGTTTATATTCAGAGGGAATATCAAAATATTGAGGACCTTCAACGAAGCATTGTTAGAGTGTTTGGAAGATTGAGGAGGAGGGAAATTAATTGTGCAGTGAATGATATTCGAAGAAGGGCACAGTGGTGTTATCATGAACAAGGCCAGCATTTTGAGCATTTGCTGTGATTTACTTTTGTCTTTACATTTTAGTTGATTATTGTTATTTGTTCAAACTTCTATTTTCATTGAGAAGGACACAATATCTAATTTACCTCATACACACCTCATTTATCAGAGTTTCATTGTTGATTCTGTCTCCGAATTTTAACAGACTTTATATTAGCTTCACCTGTATCTATGATTGTTTGTATGCATGTTTGTGTGTAACTCTCAAGATCTGGATCTGTATGACAGAATTATCGGCATTATTGCTTAATCTATGTGAAATTTAG